CTACCAGTCGAGTATTCAAATGGCTCCATATGAGGCTTTGTACGGGAGGCGGTGTAGATCTCCAGTTGGTTGGTTCGAGCCCGGTGAGACTAGGTTATTGGGGACAGATTTGGTGCAGGATGCTTTAGATAAGGTGAAGGTAATCCAGGAGAGACTTTGTACAGCAGTCGAGGCAAAAAAGTTATGCTGACATGAAGGTTCGAGATGTGTCCTACATGGTTGGTAAGAAGGTTCTGTTGAAGGTTTCGCCCATGAAGGGTGTTATGAGATTTGGAAAGAAAGGGAAGTTGATTCCGCGGTTCATTGGACCTTTTGAGGTACTTCAGAGGATTGAGGAGGTGGCTTATGAGCTTGCTTTGCCACCCAGCTTGTCGAGTGTGCATCCGGTATTCCATGTTTCTATGCTCCGGAAGTATATTGGAGATCCGTCTCATGTTCTGGATTTCAGCACGGTTCAATTGGAGGGTGATTTGACTTATGATGTGGAGCCAGCAGCTATTTTAGAGCGTCAAGTTTGGAAGTTGAGATCAAAAGATATAGCTTCGGTGAAAGTGCAGTTGAGAGGTCGGCCCGTGGAGGAGACTACTTGGGAGACCGAGAGAGAGATGCGGAGCAGATATCCTCACATGTTTGAGGCTTCAGGTTTGTTTCTTGACTCGTTCGAGTACGAACGTTTGTTTAAGGACGGAAGGATGTGACAACCCAGCCAGTCGTCTCATGAGTTACCGCTGCGGAGTCCCTCATTTCTGCTTCTTTATGTTTTGTTTATCCGTGTTTTAAGGTATCGGGTTGGTCGGATTGAATCCAGAATGATTTTGGTGAAGTTTGAGACACTTAGTCTCTTTTAAGAAGGCTTAAGATGGAAAAGTCAACCAAATGTTGACTTATGTGTTAGAGGGCTCTGATGTAACTTCTGATGGTTCGGTTAGCTTTGGGAGGTGATTTGAGACTTAGGAGTGTGATCGGAATGGGTTTTGGAGGTTTGGAGAAGATTTAGGCTTGAATTGGCGAAGTTGATAATTTGGCGATTTCCGGTTGGTAGGCGAGATTTTGATATAGGGGTCGGAATGGAATTCCGAGAGTTGCAGTAGCTTCGTTGTGTCATTTGGGATGTGTGTGCAAAATTTCAAGTTATTCGAACGTGGTTTGGTTGGGTTTTTGATCAAAAGCGGAATTCGAAAGTTTTTAGAAACTTAGGCTTGAATCCGAGGTGTTTTGGCTGATTTGATGTTGTTTGAAGTGTTTTGATGATTGGAACAAGTTTGAATAAGGTATTAGGATATGTTGTGCTTTTGTTTGAGGTCCCGGGGGCCTCGGGGTGATTTCGGATGGTTAACGGAGAAGTTGAGATGTTATTGCAGCTGCTGAAATTTGCTGCTTCTGGTGTTTTCGCACCTGCGGTTTGGGGACCGTAGGTGTGGCGCCGCACGTGCGGAAGGGGAGCCGCAGAAGCGGATTTTCGGAGGAACGTCAGGAACCGTAGATGCGGTAGTTTGACCGCACCTGCGAAGGCGCCGGTGTGGAGAGTTGACCGCAGATGCAGAATTGGTCTGTTAAGTGATTTTCGCAGAAGCGGAGGAGAGACCTCATATGCAGTACCGCAGAATCGGCTATTATGCCGCAGATGCGGAACAACTGGGCAGAAGATTTAAAAAGGGTCATTCACGAATTTTGGGTTATTTCACCATTTTTGACTTCGGCTTTGGAGATTTTTGGACAATTTGGAAGAGGATTTCAAGGGAACTTCATTGAGGTAAGGATTTTGGACCTAAAACTCGTTCCTATGCTATTATTTCATGGATTAGAGCTAGAATTTGTGGAAATTAAGGGTGAAAAATTGGGGGAAGCTAGGGTTTAGGATTGGAGCCCTATGATGGATGATTTGATGGACCATTTGAGGTCGAATTTCTGACCTTTTGGTATGTATGAATTCGTGGGGAGATAAGGAATCTATTGGTGTAAAAATTATCGAATTTTGAGACGTGAGCCCGGGGGTCGGGTTTTGGTAATTTCGGGATTTGTGTTAATTGTTGATTATTTTCGCTTGGGCTTCGTTCCCTTAGCCTATTTTGACGTCCTCGTTCTGATTTTGGATAGATTCGACGCGAGTGGAGGTCGATTCGAGGGGCAAAGGCGTCGCGAGCTAGAGATTTGACCGGTTCGAGGTGAGTAATGATTGTAAATGATGGTCTGAGGGTTTGAAACCCCGGATTGCACATCGTAGTGCTATATTGAGGTGAGGCACACGCTTGATGATGAGCGTGGGGTCGTGCACTATTGGGGATTGTGACTTGGTCCGTCCTGATCGATGATTTTACCGTGTATTTGACTGAAATCTATTTGCTATCATCATTATTTGGGCTGAATGCCATATTTGGGCTTCGTGCCAATTATTTGAACCCTTCGGGGATTTTTATTGATATTTCCTCACTGTTTTGACTTTATACTTGAACTCAGTCATGTTATTTTTCACTGTTTTTATACTCAGCCATGTTTACTCTGTTCTTAATACTTAAATGATATTTTAAATGATGTTTGGGCTGAGAAACACTGTTTTACGATTGCCCGAGAGGCTTGTGAGGATTTTTGACTGAGTGAGGCCGAGGGCCTATGTTGTGAAAAAACACTAATATTGATTTAAGGCCGAGGGCCTGAGATATGTACGCCACGAGGTGGCTTGATTGATATGAGGCCGAGGGCCTAGTGATGACGCCACGTGATGGCTTGATATCGTGCTTGGGCCGTAAGGGGCCCCTCCAGGAGTCTGCACACCCCCAGCGAGCGTGGGTACCCAGTATGATGTGAGATTGAGCCCGAGGGGCTGGTATGGTTCTGATATGTTGCCCGAGGGGCGGATTTGTTGATATTGTGCCCGAGGGGCAAACTTCTATGTGTTTATTATTCCTTAATTGCTTGTCATTTTCCTGCTTACTTATTGAAAAAGGATTTCTACTTATCTCTTGACTGATTTACTGTTTTTAAATGGTTTTACTGCTTCATTATAGATTGCCTTGTACCTTACGTGATTTCTCGCTTTCAGTCTTTATTTACATTTGTTACTCACTGAGTTGGAGTACTCACTTTACTCCCTGCACCCCGTGTGCAGATTCAGGCGTGTCTGGTTCTGCTCCCTAGTGCTGATCCTTCTAGCTTCAGGCAGACATTCGGAGTCACGAGGTAGCTGCCTGGCGTCCGCAGTTCCGTGATTCTCCTCCTTTATCATTTCTATCTATTTTCAGACAGTTGTACTAGCATATAGACTTAGCAGACTTGTTTTATGACTTATAGATGCTCATGACTAGTGACACCCCGGTTTGGGATGTGTTTGGGTTGTACTTCCGCATTGTTATGATATTATCTGCTACTTAGTATTATTAAATCATGTTTTAGAGTGTTTTATTGTTGTTTAGCTGTTTAACTTCGAATTGGGAATAGTTGGCTGGCCTTGTCTTTACGAGAGGCGCCATCACGACCGGGTCCGGGAATAGGGTCGTGACATTACCGCTATCCAAAAAGAAAACTGTCAAATTTATTGATATTCAGACTACCACTAATTGGTTATAGTTTCCTGAATTGTGGACAAAATCGCTAATTAATTTGTAAAATCTCCATTAAACACAGCAGACAGGTCAGCTTCTCACCTTGAAGAACTATGAGTAAAATGCAGTTATATAGCACATGCCATTTCACTTTAGATTGCTTTATTTCTGGAGCCTTAAAGGCCAACCAACCAGTTAGAGTGTCCATAGAAGAGCTATGTGAAACTGGACTTTTGACAGATAGATATTGTTAAACATCAGCTAGGTCAGCTTGAAATGAACTCACCTAGGTTGTCATCCCCACATTGAAAAACCAAATTCTTGTTTAGAGCAGTGCAACCGAAAAGACACCAAGCTTGTAGCTTTAAACACCAGCCACTTTTCCTACTTGACAGTGGTTACCCTTGCATTTAACAGTTCAAAAATAACATCAATTTCAAACATCATAAATAGATGATGATACTAGTAAGCAGGGCATGAACATTGGATGATTTGGCTTTTAGCCTCTTGCATAAATGCAGGGTAAAGTTGCGTACAATAGAGTAAGGAATAAGACATTCAACAATCTAATTAACTATCGCACTACAGGAGGGCATAACTAATAGGAAAATAATAAATTCCTAATCTTGTAAATACTAAAGAATCAGTGCAGCAAAGAGAAACAAATAGAAAAACTAAAAATCTATTAACTCTTTAAAGTATAGAACTACATATATTAACGGCAGAATTAAGATGAGAAATTCAAAAAAGTTTAAAAATTTACTCTAAGGAATAAGGTCTGAAGATGAAGAGTAACTACCGAGAGAATTGAGCCCTTCCGCCGACCCAGCGCATAGCGGGAGTTTAATGCACCGGGCTGCCCTTTTAATTTTCAGTGCTCTCACTTTTGAGTCTTTCACTACATTTGTTAGGACCCAGCTGGAAGGCTCTTCAACCCTCTCTACCATTAACTCTTTCTTTCCACAAGCCAATTTCAACTCAAATTAAGGCCTCCTGATAATCATTGTTTCCATATTTACTATGAATCGAAGCAAATAACCTTTTGGAGCACAAGAAGAAAAAGGGGAGTGCCAAAAAAAGAAGAAAATAATAAAGCATTCTCCAAATATATAATTTGAAAGCAATTCTACTTATGAAAAGATGATAAAATGAAAAACAGGAACCATAATATGCACCGTATGAAGCAATTGCTTCAAGAAATCAACGCAGAATTAGCAAGTAAAGCAAGGAAAACTAAGAGTTGCAGAAAGAAAGATAAGTTTAAATTCAAGTCTGCCTTCCTAATACCTAAAAGAGAAATTTAAATGGAAACTGGACTACAGCTCCTTTCTAGAACTGACATAAGGACTTAAGTCAAACTGTGTGAATTAAATGTCTAGACTTCAAACTTGACTAAAAAGTAAAAATATTGACCAAACATCTTCAGTTGGACCGAGTTTGTTAATCATGACAGAATTCAGATTAACACAGAGTTGGTGTGACCCAAGTTGGTGGAGTAAGGGGACTGAGGGAAACACCCTTATAGTGAGGCTGGATGGTGTCATCTGCTAAGTTGTAAACACCCATGTCCAAGCCGCCCCCTTCTACATAATAGCCATATGTATCATAACGATCATCCGTAAAATAAATACAATTAGGCTTGATTCCAGGAAACTGAGAAGCTTGGACAGAGAGAGATGCATTAGCACCGAAAAAGATAGCTCTGTCCCCTAATTCTTTGGTTTCCGTCAATTTTCCAGCAGCAATATCCAATTTGTAAACTCTGAAAATATCTTGTCTCAAAAGTTAGCTGCTCATCGGATCCCAAGACCTCTTCATCATAAACTTCATAATCATTTGGGATTGGTGTCATTGGAATCCTAGACTTACACAGACCACCATGTCGCGCAACTACAAATAATGATCCTAGTGATTCTACGATGTACAGTTCATCTCCAATCTGATCTAGAGGCAACCGAGCTACTTTTTGAGCCATTGGCTCAGCACCAGTAACATCGCAAACTAACACGTGGCCGAGCCACTGAACTGCATAAAATTTGCCATTAAAGTAGACCACATCACGATGAAGAGCCGGATTGTCTTCTTTCATAATCCTGGTCCATCTCAAATCTCCTGGCCTCCAAAAACTTAGGTATTTGTTATTTGCCTCAATGACCATGAGAACGTAGTCTGATGTTTTAGAAGGACTAGCCGACAAAACTGCCTTGTGAAAGAAGGTCCATGGATCGACAGTCAGTTGGCAATTGTAACCTTTGGTGGTATTTGGATGCGGCAGTTGAATCTGAACACCGGAGAAGGGATGTAGCAGAGTAATTTCACCCTCGTCTTTCCCCGCTGCAATAAGCCATCCCATAGACTCCATACAGCGCTTTCCTCTAGCATTTGGAATCCTCTTCTTTAAAATCATGCCATTATAGAGGCTGAAGAACTTTCGACATGTATTAGCTTCACCACCTTCTTCCTTGTTATTCTCTTCCTCAGCTAACATAAGCCATGGAACCCTAGGCAGATCACTGTTAAAATTGTTCTTAGTGGCCGCACGTCGCCAGGGTTTGCAAACAGCAGCGAAATTAAGATAGTCTTCAATCAAATTCAAACGCTTAGCTACGTGAACCAGCACATCATACTGAAGTTCTGACCAATTCGCCATTTTCGTGTTTTATGCACAAGCCGAAATGTGTTCCTGATAAAAGAAGCCTTCTTTTCTTCGGACAAATTCCAACTAAACCCTAGCACTACCTTTTGGAGGGGAATTGGGCGAATTTGCTTTCCTATAAATATTTCCTTAACCTTACTCTTGCCAATATCTTTTCGTTCTTTTTTTTTTTTGGTAACAAAAGAAATATTCATATATATATATATATACATATATATATATATATATATATATATATATTAAGTCGTTACAGGGACAGTAGCTGTCCTGTTACAACCATTGAGGCTGGATAGTACAAGAGGTTACCAAAACTAGCAAACTTAGTAAGCATAGACATGGGAATTTTTCTACTGGATAGCATGCCTTTTTCGTCTGACTGTAAATTGGAAAATACAGAAACTGGCGGATAGTTTAATATACATATATATATATTATCACTTGACTGCTTCTTTGTTCCTTTATTTGTGTCACGACCCCAAACCCGGTCGTGATGGCGCCCAACAACATTGCTAGGCAAGCCAGACCACAATCGTTCCCAAATTAACCGTAAACCTCAAACCGACAATCTAAAGAGATTATAATAGTTTTAGAATAATAATCCAATATTTATAATAGAATAATACTGAGAAAAATACGAAGTCTGATAAAACGCTCCCAAAGACCTGGGGTCACGAGTCTAGAGCCTCTAAAACAATCTGAATAACAATATCTGAACGAAAATACTCAAGTCTGGAAATGTATATATATAAATAAAACTGAAATAGGAAGAGTAGTCAGGTCCTGCGAACGTCAAGCAGCTACATCAACAACTCTGATAAGCTCTGGGAAACAAAGACTGCTCAGCTAAGCCTCCGGTGTACCTGAATCTGCACACAAGGTGCAGGGAGTAGGGGTGAGTACTACCGACTCAGTGAGTAATAAGCATATAAAATGTCTGAAGATAAGAAATCCACGAAATGCCACAAAGTAAAGCTAAAACTAACAGTCCAACACCTAACTACAAACTAACAGCAAAACAACTCAAAATATATCAGTCAAGTATAATGTAAAGATGCAATGCAATGCACATGACCGCTACGGCGCGTAGCCCGATCCATTTAACGTCGACGGCGCTCACTGGGGGTGTGTACAGACTCCGGAGGGGCTCCTTCAGCCCAAGCGCAATATAATCATACGATTCGTTGCGGCGTGCAGCCCGATCCATACTCAGTCCACAATATGCATATGAGTCACGTAACAGATTCAATTAATTTTCCAATTTCCAATTTCTTAAGAAGAATATACTTTAGATATTTAACTTCAGGAAAAGTGACTTAGCGTTTCATAACAGTGATTAAACACAGGACTGAGATCAATGATCATACAAAGCATGCTATCACAATGACAATCATCCTCTAAGGATGCTACAGATCGGCACAAGGCCCCAAACACGGCAATAAGCCCAGATATATTCAATACAGGGTGCGTATCAGTCGCCAATATAGAAATATTCTTGTTCGGAATGGATTAAGTCTCGATCCCCAGTCATAACCAATCCCGCACCTGCCATGGGGTGCGAGTCACGCCCTACAATAGCGTCACAGTGTGATAAGCCGGGGTTTCAAACCCTCAGGCCATCATATACACCAACTACTCACCTCTATCCGGCCGTAGAATGGTCCGCAATGCCTTTTCCTTTCGTATCGACCTCCTCGCGCGTCGAACCTAGTCAAAATCACAACGAATACATAAATATGGGTTAAAGAAACATAACCCAATCAAAAATACTCGAAAAGTACTAAAATTCACGAAGTTGGTAAAACCCGAACCCCGAGCCCACTTCTCGAAAAATTCCGAAAATCACACTAACGGACTCCTCGTCTCGTCACGAGTCCGTGCATATACCAAAATCGGAGCTCGTTTGACCCTCCAAATTCCATTTTTTACATCACAGCTTTCCAAGCCCTAGCCTGACCCGTTTTTGATGAATTTTCTACAATTTACATGTAATTTCTACCATAAATTCGAATATTTAGGCCAAGGAACTTACCTCCAAGTGATTCTCAGTCAAAACCCTCGAATTTCCTTGTTCAAAGCTCTTAAGAACGTCAACAATGGAGGAAAAATATGAAAGGGTCGCGGATGAAATATTATTTTAAAACCCTTCTGTCGCCCAGCGATTTTCGCTTCTACTGTCCCGCTTTCGCTTATGCGGGACTGCTTCTGCGGCCACATTTCCGCTTAAGCGGTTTTCACTTAGAAGCCCGGACTTCGCTTATGCGACGCGAAGTCCGCTTCTGCGGTTCCTTCAAACCCGCTTCTGCGGCACCTTGTCCGCTTATGCGGACCCGCTGGTGCGAGCCACCTTCCGCATCTGCGGAATTTCCCTAGCCGGCCACGACCGCTTCTGCGACCACGTACCCGCTTCTGCGGTACCGCTTCTGCGGTCCATTTCCGCAGAAGCGGAAACACCAGATGACAGAAAAAATCTGACCTGCAATTACACCTCAAAACTCTCGTTTAACCACCCTAATTCACCCCGAGGCCCTCGGGACCTCAACCAAATGCAGAGATATGTTCTATTACTTCATTCGAACTTGCTCGTAACATAAAAACACTATCATAAACACCAAAATCATCGAATTACCACGGATTCAAGTCTAAGTTAAACTAAAACATCCGAAACTTGCATTTGATCTAAAACCCGACCTAAACACCTCCGAATGATCTGAAACTTTGCACGCATATCCAAAATCACCTAACGGAGCTACTGCAACTCTCGGAATTCCATTCCGACCCTCGGATCAAAATCTCACCTACCATCCGGAATTCGCCAAAATTCAACCTTAGCCAATTCAAGCCTAATTCCACACCGGACCTCCAAATTCAGTTCCGATTGCGCTCCTAATTCACAAATCATCTCCCGAAACTGGTCAAATCATCGGAAATCCATTCCGAGCCTTCTAACTCATAAGTCAACATTCGGTTGACTTTTCCAAACTAACCTTATCATAAAGAGACTTATTGTCTCATTTCTAACCAAACTCTATCCGAATTACTTCAAATTCTCCAAACACGTATAATGAAACATATAGAAGCATAAAACGGGGAAAACGGGGCGGTAACTCCCGTAACGACGGGTTGGGTCGTTACAATTTGCCAAAACATGTGCTACTTTGTTCCCCTCCCTGAAGCTATGCCTGATGACTGGATTCCCCAACCTCTTCAAGAGTGACCTGCAAGAATGTAATAGTTTGTTAAAGATAGGAATCTGTTCATTTAGTAATTGGATTACTTCAATGGAGTCTGTCTCTATCTCCAAAGGAGTTAGTTGAAGATCTACTGCTAGATGTAGCCCTTGCTCTAATGCACTTAACTCAGCATGGGTATGGTTGAGTGCAATAATCTTTTTAGAGAAGCCTACGACCCATTGCCCATTTGCATTTCGTATAACCCCTCCAATACCACTAGACTTATCTTTAGCATAGAAGGAGCCATCCGTGTTTAGTTTAAAAAAACCTGGGGATGGGGGGAACCACTTAACTTGGATACATTTTGTTTGAGTTGGGGAAGAGGAATTTCCTGTACATTACATGTATTCCATAGCCCGTGTGCACACTGTGTTGGTGTCAATCAGTGCGTTAGTATTATTAAAAACATTGTGGTTTCTATTTATCCAAATATGCCAGAGGGCAAAAGGAAAGAAGAAATCCCGGGTTAACGGGTAATTCAGGATAGGTATCTGCAAGTCTTTTATTAAGAGGAGCCAGTGAGTATGGTAATAGGGAAGGGCAGTGATATTCAAACCAAGGTCCATCCAGAATTTTCGTGCAGTGAGGCACTCCAGAAAAATGTGATGGATGGATTCAGAGGGTTGCATGCATATTGTGCAGTTTGGGGAGACATTTATACCTATATGATGGAGGTAGGTATTTGTTGGCAACTTATTATGGGAACAAAGACATAGAAAGAATTGGATTTTTGGCAATGTTTTTAGAGTCCATATCCAGTTGAACTCATACTTGTGATCAGACGGAGGATGGAGTAGGTGTTTGACTGATTTAGTAGAAAATAGACCATTTGAATTCAATGACCAATAGGGTGTGTCAGCCTCACCTTGGGTCAAGGAGAGTGACTTAGTTTCATTACAAAAGTCTTGTGGGATATCCATGGAGATCCTTGACCAATCCCATTGGAGGTCATCCCAAATGTCATGTAAGCTAAGTCGTTGATCCTTTTCAAAATAGAGTCAATTACTCAAATGGTCACTCAACTATCTCAAATTATCTCCTAAAGTCATTTTTCTTTCGTTTGTAACAACAAAGTCACTGAATTATGCCTATTGCACTCAGAAGGTCACTCAACTAGATTTTTCAAATTTTGGATTGCCAAATACCTATTTTATCTTCTAAATTATAAATATTTATCTTCTTTTATTTTTTAAAACTTTTTAATATTATGATTTTCCCTTTTTAATTTATATTATGGACTTACCTATAGAATAAATAAATTTTATTTATAAATTAAAAAATTAAAAATTATTTAAGCATCTATAATGCTGGAATAACAATATAATGAGAATAGTAAAAGAATTAATTAGAATAATTTATTTGTAATAATAATTTTAGTATTAACAACAAAAATTCGAAAATTTATTTACACAATTCAGAATGAAAGAAAACAAAGGTTGTAAAATATATATTCCATGCACGTAATATAAAAATAATTATTTAAATAAAATTATTTTTATAATATACATTATATATTCTTGAAAATTATGCTCAATTATATTATATATATTCCATGCACGACTTAACATAACATATTTTACCATATACAGATAGCTCCTCTACTTTCCGGTGATATAACTTTGTGTCGTCGGAAAGTTGGTAGAAATATAATAATATAATTGAGCATAATTTTCAAGAATATATAGTGTATATTACAAAAATACCTTAATTTAAATAATTATTTTTATATTACGTGCATGGAATATATATTTTACAACCTTTATT